TATGACGTTTCAATTGCGAAGGAATTTTCTCATAAAGAATCGCCAACGAGCGGGGGAAAATGTGAGCCAATATGCAAGTTATTTTGTCAGCTTTTGCTGTAACAAATCTTCTGATGGATCTTCTTCTTTGAAGAAAGGCGAAAAACTTTAAAAGTGACTGCAATATTACCTTCGAAACATTCCCGAAGAAGAGGCATTCGTTTTTGGCGGAACCTAGGGAATGTTACCCCAAATACAATGTTATCGGGCAGTGATCAACATTCTTTATCGTCAAGGTTCTGTCTGAGACATGTCACAGTTATCTGTGTATAAAGAATGGTTTTGCCAGAACAGTAACAAGATCGGGGAGCATATTCCTTACCGGAATACACAAAATATCTTCATGCGTTCTTTGCAACGTTCCTTCTTCGTTAGTCCCTACTTTAGCCACCAGATCGACTTAGTGTTTACCTCACGTTTACCCTCATCCGTAATTTTGATATCATCACTCGTAGGATATTTAAAAGTACGATTTTGGGGTCCTGCAGAAGCGTACGACCTCCAGATCAAATTTTATGCAAATCCGCCCAGTGGTTCTGGAATTGATAGCACCGGACGGACAGACACGGCATTACAATATCGCAATACACTTCATGCAAAGAACGCATCGTAACGTTCTGCAAACGAGACATGGCCGCAGCGCGCAAATGCCATGTGAGAATTGCATTTGGAGAAGTGGAACAGAAGCTCCGCTTGCAAGTAAGTACCGTGATGATAGATCGAAATGCTGTTTTTGAAGTGTTGATTGCACTCAACAATAATGTTGTTTGCTGTAGATATTAGTTGTAGTTAACTCACCCTTCTACAAAACTGTAGTAAAATATGGCTTGTTTGGTTACCGTCTTACCGACACCAAAAAACTTATATCAATTTATTATTTAATTTTTACTCTGCACTTTCCATTGTTTTATTATCTTCCGTCTTCCTATTTTTCTATTTATCTATTTTACTGTTTGTTTAAATTTCCCATCCGTACCAAGAAAACAGAAAGCAACACCGACCTTTGCTATCGGACTTCAGTTTGTGAAATATTGTGCTATTAATTTGTAGCGTTGTGTTGCTATGCATGAGTATTAAAATTATTTTATTAATATATTGAATTGAATATAAACAATACGCAAAGCATTATTTCGTAATTATTACTACCATACTTATAAATGCTGAATATTTTCTCTATAAATATCAATTTAATATTGCCTAGGGTGATTTTCACCCATTAATTTGATTGTTTATTGCGCAGTTCTGCCTGTGTGTGTTCCCCTAAGTCATTAATAATGAACAGATAGTCTACAGGACTTCACAATTCAGAGTTTGGAGCTATTTTATACAATACGGGCCTGGAAAATATGAATTTAGGTTAGCCAGAGGCTGGCTATCTTATGTTAATATTTTCATTAAATTCAGCGAGTTTGAAATTCCTACCAGGAAACACGTGTGACTCTTAATGGGTTGGGGGAAGATATGGGGACTTGAGATCGATTCAAATTGGCCCCCGCCTACCGGCTACCCTGACAATTAAAGTGTATGGATAAAACTCAGGGTTGTGAAAAAACGGATTACAAAGGTTTAACAGAACCCTGTATTTCTGGCGGATTTATACTTGTTGATGTAACGATAATACGACTCACTGCGGTGTTATGTTGTCAGTTTATGTATGTTGCTTGTCAGAAACAAAATATCGGAATTATTTAATTATCACTAGGTTATTGAACATGTATCGAATGTAGCCGGTGTTTACATTTAAGTGAAGCAGTGAAGTTTGAAGATGGCTTTAGGATCCGATGGACCCGATTTCTGAGCTGAGTTTATTCGTTAGTTGTCTATCATTTCCCTCATTGAATTAATATGTATAGACACTCAAAATCTGGAGATATCGAGTTTATTCGTTAGTTGTCTATCATTTTCCTCATTGAATTAATATGTATAGACGCTCAAAATCTGGAGATATATGTCATAATTCCATTAAATACTCTTTTTGTTATCAAATACGTAATGATTTTAACAAAATGTTTTAGTATTACGCTTGATCAGACCAAAATATTCTGCATCTACATTGGATGAAATATAATTGAAGATTTTGGTTTCAATATCTTTTTTGCCATATATTTTTTACAGATTATCGTCTGTGTGTCTTTTCTCGGCGCATAAATACTGTAATACATGGAGACAATTTGATGTACTGGGCACAAAATCAAATAGAGTCTGGAAACTAGGCCAATAGGAATTTAGGACAAGCTACTCATGAACGAAATTTCGCACCAAAACATCTTTAGTTCTGAATACCTCTGACAGCGAATTCTTCAAATGACCCCCAGCAGTGAACTGCAGCTTCTGGCCTAGCTGCAGAGGGGGAGTGACCCAACCTCTCACCTCGTTACTGAGGACGTTTGCTTTCCATCCTCCAGTCGAGCAGTTTAGCTGAAGCGTTACGTTTCTTGCCTGTGTTTGGGACGACCGTGGTCGGCTGTCCTGACTGAGACATTTCGTTGATTTGTAGTCTCTCCAGCAGAATGCTATTACAGTAGCCGCTTTAAAACGGGCAAAAGTCCCTTCCTTTTATTTATCGTCTATTTTAATCGGGCTGTTTTATTTTATATCCATTCATTTATATAATTCAGTTCTTTGTACGTAGACTGTGTCTGACTAACACCGAAGTCTAATTTAACTGTCTCTAATGGCGCTACACAGGTAGACAGATATTGCATATTATTGTAACTAGAAACCTAGCTTTCCCTTCCCTACATCCACTTAAATCTTACTAAATTTGCTCTTTCACTTATATCTCAGCCTCTTATAAGTATTCTCCAATATTCCTTACTTATACACACTTAGTACATTCCATTATTGTCTTATAAGCTACTTCACTATTTATAATAAACCAGTTACTACTAAAGAAGTTTTCATCTTCCTATTTTTAATTTCATTCCAAATAAACACCATTTGCTTTTATTTGTGTGTACTAATGCTTACCGAGTAAAAAAAAAATTAAATTCGTGCTTGGAAGAGACCAGCGGAAGAATATGATAAATTTTCTTAAAAACTAACATTAAAGTATTAGTGTCATACCGCGATGAAGAATATTTATAAATGTGCACTGTAATCCGGGAGTTCCTTATGCATAATTATTAAATTAGTGTTGAAAAATGTATGAGGACGTTTTTGATAATGGAATGAAGGCTTGGTATAGCAGTAAATTTTCTGTCACAATTCGTTTCTCAAAGTATTTACTATATTCATATTGCCGTCAAATCATTTTGGTTTACGCCTGTGCATGTAAATGTTAACAAATGCTCTTAGACTTACAAAAGTGTTACTAACATCTGCAAGTGCTTACATGTGGCATTAGGTTATGATTTCGCTTTAAAGTCGCGATCGTCCTGGTGATGGAGGCAGAAATGACCTCTGAGACTTCGGTAAACTTCTACCAGACTACACGGCGTAACAACCCAGAAGGCAGCTATCTTCAGTATAGTTTAAAATAACTCAAATGTTCTATGTTCTCAAACTACAAGAAACCTCTTTAATGGAACAAACAGAAATAATAATCAAAGTAACTTCTGCCATAATTTCCATTGTTTTGAAACCACATTTAAATGATTAACAAAACTAAACTTAATGTCATGTTTACCCTTATTTTGCTTTAGTTTATACGTACGAAAAACCCGGCGAAGAGAGGAGTTCTTCTGTCGTTTGCAAATAACTCTTGATATTACTTGTGACTTACGAAATGAAGAGCCCTTTGATCTCACCCAGTCTCTTTCCTCGGAACAGACAATCCTGAACCTGTTTCTTCTCGTTAGAAGATCGCGCTCAGTGCTTCCTGCGAGGTGCTGCTCCACTGCCTTCTATTTATCTTCCATCTCTCCCACCCCTGTTACTCTTTTTGATCCTAGCACGCGTATATCCCAGTGCGATCCTCTTGACGCCCGGCTAAAAGAGAATTTATGTCTCAAATTTAACCCTGTCGGCTACAATACATGCACAACTTTATTTTGTATCTGTGATTAGGATGTATTTGCTCCACGCACAGATTCTGTAAGGCGTGTGCTCATGAGATACAGTTTTGGGGTTTCGAAGAAATGAGTGTCTGTCTGTCTGTCCGTATGCCAGAGGGTTCCATAAACAGCCATGGTTACCAATGCGGTGATAAAAAATCGGTTGTCATAAAATTCGACACGAGCAGCATACTGTTACAAGTCACGAAAGTTTGACACTCTAGAAGTCGATGTCATCATCATTGCCATGTTGACATTATGACAGCTGAGCTGACATGTGAGGGGAAACATCATTTTCGTAAAATATGTAACGTTTAAAGATTTCTGTCTTCTGGTTTGCTGCGCCGTGTAGTCTGATAGAAGTTTACCAACAATTCAGATATCCCTGCTGCCTCCATCATCAGAGCGATGAGTGAGTACTTTATATCCTAAATTTTTATCTATCTTTAAAATTCACGTTACCTTAACAAAGGTGTGTACATGTTTAACGTGAAAACACTTACATTAATAACTCCATGTGTTAGTTACAGAGCATAATATAAAATACAACAGTGATACAGACTTGTTAATCTATGGTGGCCACGTTCAGGGGGATTGTGGTAACTGGTAACTGATAATTGTCGTCGACGCAGGTCGGATTTCTAGATTTTAACAAGGTCTCACTAGGAAGCATAAACACATAAGTTCCTATTATATTGCTTTTACAAATTACAGGTACAATTAATACATTTGGAATAAAATAATTCAGTTACTATCAAAAGTCTTATGGACCAGCGATAAATACTCCGCGTATTAGTAGCGTGTGTCATAGTGATAAAGTATGAATTTTCCATCGTAATTGTAACTACTATTTCACTGCATCTCTTCTTCCTAATTACATTGCAGCTCCTTGATTCCAGTTAATTTGCCTTTGTTCTTGCCATGGGTCATCATACAGTAACTGATCTGTACTTTGACGCTTTCCAGGAGTAACTGTGACGACCGCGTCGCTAGAATATTCAGGCAACATTACGACCGACCGTACTTCCTGCCGCAAACGGCTGAAAACAAGAAGGTTGACTGGATCTTTATGGGCAGCCCCGGATACGGGGCCCACATGCATGTAAGTGGAATGGACTTCTCTTTTTACTCTTGGCACAGTGGGTCGGATTACGCCGATTCTGTGAAGGCTATATCCATATTTCTTAATTTGTATACACACCGAGATAGAGGTCTCCTCTTCGAGTCTAGACCAAAAGATCTGCTATTCTGAGAGCGGAGTTTTTTCTTTTGGTTTCGCCTAATTAAATGCCAAACTTAATTAATATTCTTTTTCCTTCTTTAAAACAGGTCACGGTTTCTTCCTTCTGCATATTTTTCAAGTTCTTTTTTTAATCTTACCATGAAGCATTTAATGCTAAGAACTATGTAGTTGAAAAGCATTGTTAAAAATCCAACTATTAACAACGGCTGTCTTCTGGGTTATAGCGTCATGTAATTTAGTAGAAAATTCCTGTTTCAGAGATCCTTACTGCTTCCGTCATTAGGACGATGACCCTGAAATTCTGGTAGACTTCTACCAGACTGCTCGGCGCTACATCCCAAAAGACAGCTATCTTCGTACTCAACGCCGTGAGAATCTCATATCCAACAAAAATATTAATCCACATATCCTCACTAAACATTGCCGTATTGTGACTGAGCATTCCTCCTTTGTATCTGGGAGATCTCTGATTCATATCTCGTTCCTGAGGCTGCATGTGCCCAGTGGCGTTTTGTTTCTTCAACAAACAATGATGCATTATCATTCAGAAATGTAACAATTTCTAAGTAGTAACAAGCGTAATAGTTAGGCCTGCGATATGTATGACTAAATTAAGAAGACAGCCATCTTCTTAGTCACCACCGTGAAAACCTCAAATTCTACTAAATTAGGAACAGAATAGACTCAGTAATAGCATGTTGCCATAGAGTTCTCACCGTGAAAACCTCAAATTCTACTAAACTAGGAACAGAATAGACTCATGCATGTTGCCATAGAGTTCCGAGTTCTTTTATCGTTTCGTCTGCTTTTCAATAGCGTGAAACTAAGGCTTAAACTGGCTTTGGTTCAGTTCCTGCCTCAAAGAAAACAGACGCGTCTCCATTACAACGATAAAATCTTGTACGCTGTTTATAGAAATAATGGTTGTTTATTCTGAGAATCATACAAAATCCATTTCAGGCAAAACGCAGAGTTGCTGAATGTTAAAAGCGAATGGTATTACCACTGCCGTTTAAAAGATAAACACGGAACGTCGGAAATTTCTTTGTTTCTTAATTGTGCAGCAGTCTTTCACAAACAAGAACTCAGGACATAACGTCGGACGCTATTTCCAAGCAGATCCATAACGCAGAAGTTCCCTCCAGGCCTGTATATGTACTGAAACGGACTTCTCCCTTAGATTCTGCCACCTACAGGCGTGCTAATCAATCACACCTGTGGCACGCACTCATAACAGCATTGACATGGCTTCAATAGAAGATGGCGTATTTTTTAACGGTTCCATGACCTTTACCCACCCCTACTAGTACCCCTTCTCGCTTAACCCGTACTTTCCTTTGATGGTGTCTACCCCCGTGAGGAGAATAATAAATTGATTCAGTGGCTGTATCAAAATGCAAAAGAAAACTGAGCATGAAGGGAAAATTGGTGTTTTGGTACGTAGGTAATTTCCGCGAACACCTGTCTTCCACACTTTTTGTCGCCTTTGTATGTAAACCAAGCTGATATAATGGACTTTGGATGATAATGCCAACCCAAATCCCAAACTGTGAGGCGAAATATTACGCGCGTGATATAAAAGAGTTCTGTAATCTCAGTATTCACTACAGTAAAGTTTAACCACGTGTTTTATTTACAAATTGATGAACCGGTTCTGTGAAGAGGCACTGCGAGATTCTTGGATCCAACAGCACAAGTTTATCATGATTTTACTTTATATTTCTAGAATACCGGTATCATAAAACTGGGTGCCATTAGACATTCTTCTCTTCCTGTACCGAATTCTGTTACGTACAAACAAGAAAGACCGGTCTCTGTTATTCATGGCCCATTACGTTTAACTCCACACGATAAGAGCCCTGCAAGAGGACCTATAAGTAGCGCAAAGGTTCAAGATTTACCCGCCTTTTATAGAAACAGAATATTCATTATCATATCTGCAACAGCCTCTTACTTGAACCTACCTTGAGCCAGATGAATCCAATTCGCATTCTTACACCTTATTTCCATAAGATGAATTTTGATATTAGCTTCACATCTGCGATTAAGTCATCCAAATGCTCTTTTCTTATCATCAGCCAATGTTATATCGGTAGTGATAATAGGTTGCTTAATCTGTAATCCTTAAAAGTGCGCGTAATTTGTTCCTTTAGTGAGTTTCTGCTCGTGTGTTGCTGTAAAGAAAGCTCCTGAATCATCCGTAGACTTACTGGAACTTTATCAAAAGGAATAAGATTTTTATCGCTATAAAATGTTCTTCATTTGCTTGTGTTCATTCTATTGAAGCTGTGAATGATATACCTACACTTGCTAATATGAAGAGTTTTCTCACATACGTACACGCAGCAAGTTATGTAACTGTTAAACGCAGAGGTCACCTAGTGACATGCGTACAATTTCAAGAAAGTATGTGAAATATAATTTTTGTTTCATATTTGGGAGTTGTTGATTCGTCTCAGACAGCATTTCGGTTCTCCAGACTGAAATAGTTTTCGTCAGACACTCCAGATGAATGCTGTGACACTACCGTTTCCTTCCACACCCTTTTCGATTTATTATGCCTATTTATTAATCAACCTATCATTCGATGCTCTACAGTCAGTGTTTCTTACAACATTGTTAATTAAACCATAAATAAATTGACGTAGCGAGATGCCATATTTTTAAGGTCATCTTTTATGTAATTAGTGGTAATTAAATATCAAATCCATGCCCGCTTTATAATGTCATTCAATTCTTGTTTAAATCGGATTATTTTCTCTCACATCTCATGAGATATATCTGGCCTCAGTTTGGAGCGAATAGGTCAAACACGCGTCCCGCGATTGATCCTTGTTATACACTTTTGCATCGGAAAATACCACGTTTGGAGCGATTCCCAACGAAACTTTGGACCTGGACTTTTAACAGACAAGCAGAAAATTTCCATTTTCCCAAAATATTGAAAATGTAATTTGAATTATTCAAAAGTTCAAAACACAAGTTGTAGGCCGTAGAGTTCCACTCCCACGTACTTTAATGGTAGGATTAAGTGGCTCATTCTTCATTCCAAATTTTAATAAATGCGTAATTCGATACAAATCAATTATAAAAGTTATAGATTTATGTAGGATTAATATGTAATTACACTTTTAACATCGTATTCTATCACGCTCCTGTTTCAAAACTGGTCAGAAAACTTACACAACTCTTACTTGCGTAATTTACGCCGACGCCACGAATGTCTGCTGTCTTAACAATGTAAATACGAGCTGCAAGAAAGGGGAAGTGTGTTACTCAGACGCCACTCATCTGTTCCGATTCAGAATTTTAGCTGAAACAATGGATTGGTAGTGCTGTTTAGACTGTCTGTGGCCTGACTGTACAGGCCAGTAAAAGACAGGAGCGGAAATAGGCCATGAATTTCTCGACACGAGAAAGTTTTTGTATTGATTATATGTATATTTAGTTTTGTTTTGTTTTCATATGTTTTTGTTTAATGTGTGTATTTATTAGTATTTGCCCGTCGTAGGAGTTTTGCTCTTGATAAACACTATAACAAATGACTTGAACTGAATTATTTTCTACTAGTCGTGCATGTTTATTTACATGGAATGGTTCGTAGGGATACATAATTTAGAAATACGTTGTTTACATTAATAATGGTATAATATGAAAGATTATTGATGATCTAGAGTACGAAAATTCGGTAACTACCACCTTGCTTCTTGGATTCCTTGACCGAAATGAAGTGAATAATTATATATACATCGTAGAGGTCTTCTGAGAAGTGACGCCTTGTGACCATGTCTGTATAGATCACATTCTGAATATTTTAAAGAGACACGGACGCATTTCTGCAGAATAAGTTACAAAATGGCGTGATATGTTACATAGATTTTCAGATCAAGTGTAGGCCTGATTGTCCTCCCACATAAAAATGTTTCTGACTAAATTTTGCCTAAAATGAATACTGTGTATTGTCTCACATTCCTGAGATGCGAAGAGGGGATTATTTGCTTTTTCCAGTCCTCTAGATAAAATAAACACGATCCCTGTCACAATTTCTTTTAGTTCTTACACTTCACTGCAGTTTAGTAAACGTGTTTCTGTTCTTGCAAATATCGTAGTAATAACTTTTTTTATTGTGTTTAAAATTAAATGTTTCGACAACAAATTAAAAGGTCTTATTAAGAGGTCACTGTATTTTTATCCATATTTTTTGTGAAAACGAAAATATACATTTTACTAAGATTGCTTGTGCTTACTATCTCCATTACAAGAGTAATCAGCCTGATGATGGAGACAGTAATCACCTCCGAAACGTCGATTAACTTATACGAGACTACACGGCGCAACATCCCATAAAACAGTCATCTTCATACTCGTCGCCCGTGAGACCCTGAGATCTTATTCCTCAATTCCAAGCCACAGTGCAATGCAGACATCGGCTCATTAACTGCGGTACGACTAAATGTGTAAAATTTTTC